AATAATAATAATAATAATAATAATAATAATAATAATAATATAAGCCTTCTTTGTCAAAAAGCTCTGGCGTCACAACAAACTACAGTTCTCAGAATCCCATAGCACTGAGGCAGGGCAGTTAAAGTGGTGTCAAAGCGGATTATTTCTGCAGTGCGGATGCAGCCATTGCCTTTGATCCCTTTCATAGATGGGCAGGCACCTAGACACTGGTGGGATGTAGGACAAGTTCTGGAAAAGGAGGACGCTTGGGTTCCCCCTGGTTGGAATGGAGGACACGTCCGGGGGGGAAGGAGGGCAGCTGATCGCTTGGTTTGAAATGGAGGACACGTCCGGGGAAATGAAGAGGCATGGTGTAGGGCCCTGGAGCGAAAGTGAGGCTATGTCCGGGTAAAGGAGGACGCCTGGACCACTCCTCTTCCTTCTCCAAGAGAGTGCAGCACAGAAAGGGTTAAGGCTGGCGCGTGACGTCACGGAGGCTCCCCTACTTGGCTCCTCCTCCCTCAGCGCGGCGCCGTCGTTTGAACGCAACGTCACTTCCGGAAGGGGTTTTCAGCCTTGTCCGGGAACTTCCGGGAGCTGGCGCCGAAGCCAACGGTCACTATGAGTTGGTGAGTTGTGAGGGGCGTCTCTGGGGCAGCGTTTGAGGGAGACCCCCCAGAGGCCTTCCTGCTTCCTTCCTCGACCTCAGGGGCCCTTCCTTCGGCGGCTTTTGGGACCGCCTCTGCGGCTCCTGTTTCTGGTTGTGTACCTTCACGACCTTCACCACTTATGGAGACCTTTTCCTGGGGTTTTCTTGGCGAGCTTCTTCAGAGGAGGTCTGCCATGGCCTTCCTCTGAGGCTGAGAGAGTGTGACATGCCCAGGAGGTCCCAGTGGGTTTCCATGGCTGAGCCAGGATTCGAACCCTGAACTCCAGAGTCCTGGTCCAATGCAAGACTGGTGTTTTTGAGAACTAACATAATCAGAAGCTCTGTGTGTGTGTGTATATATGTAAATAAAATGATACATATATATATACATGCATAATATTATATGTGATATATATATATATATATATATATATATATATATATATATATATATATTACATCTCCAGAGTCCTAGTCCAACACTCAAGCCACTACACCACACTGTCTCTCCTATTTCTTATCTTTTTCTCCTGTTTCTTATTAGTGCCTAGAGAACAAAACAAAACCAAAAAATAAAATAAAATAAAATAACAACAACAAAACCTTTAATTATAAAGTGCTGTACATACTGAGTATACAAAAATTAAAACCAAAAACTAAAAAAAACTGCCTAAGACGTACAATCTAAGAAAACAAAATAATAACATGAAAACATAATAAAATAATAATTTTTATTTGTAACCTGCCCCCTCTGCAAAGCAATCGGGGCGGCGTACAGCATTGTTAAAACAAAGAACAGTTAAAACATTCCTATACCCCACGCCCTAGCCCTCGCACCCCTTAAAACTGAATTAAACTCAAATAGTATTAAAATAAAATTAACTCACAATACAAATACAGTAAATTTAAACAGCATACAACCAATGGCAGGTAAAGCCATTAAGGGCAAATTAAAAATTAAGGTTAAGGGGGAGGTGATAAGCCTCCATCATTGCCAGGAAATTATTCTGGGATATCTTAAAATACAACAAACACAGATACATAATAACACTCATTGGAATGCTTCCTTAAACAAAAACATATTTAAATTCCACCTTAAAATTGGTTAAACAGGTAGTAGTCTGGAGATGTAAGGGCTCAGTGCTATGGAATTTTGGGATTTGTAGTTTTGTGAGATATTTACCATCTCTGTCAGAGTGCTCTGGTGCCACAACAGCAAACTACAAATCCCACAATTCCATAGGGATGGAGCCGTGGCTGTTAAAGCTTTGTCAAACTGCATTAATTCTGCAATCAGTTGCTGTTGTGTGACTGCAAGTCATTTCTGATTTATGGCCACCATCATTTGTTGTTGTTGTGTGCCTGCGAGCCGACCCTAAGGCAAGCCTATCATGGGATTGCTAAATGGAGCCTCTAGGTATTGGGAGCAAACAAACAGAGGACTGTTGGCCTTCTGCCCTGTTTATATGTTTATTAGGGATTTCAAGTGGGCTGAAGGTTTTGGTTGGCTACAGCTATGCTAAAAGGACTTTTTGGTCTGATCCAGTCCTTCTGGTTATTAAAAACACAGGTCCAAAATGCACTGCAGAAACAATCCAGTTTGGTCCTTCCTCCTTCTGGCCATGTAGCTGCTGGGAAGTTGTCAAAGTCTAGGAAATGTAACTTCCATTTGCAAACACAAAAAAGATACAGTACTTTCTTTGCAATCGTTTTGTATCTCTTTGTGTCCTTTTAAAAATCTTTTTGTTTACCTCCTTTTCAATCTCCTTGTGTTCTTTTTGTGTCTTTTTTCATTGCGAATGGAAGTTAAATTTCCTGGACTGTGGCAATCTCCTAGTTTCCACATGGCCAGAAGGAGGAGGGCTGCATAAATACCTTTCAGAACCATCTGAATTGAGAACAGCAACATGAAAATGCAGGCCTATGACTAAGATCTTCATTTTTTTTCTCCTGTATGGTTTTTAACACTTGGCCTGATGAAGAAGCCAGTGGTGCTTCCAAAGCTTGCAGTATTCATTTTGTGCATTTTGGTTGTCCCAATAAACAGATCACTGTTGGGTGCA